AACTTAAAATATTATAGATTTTTTACTTACACTGGTGCACATATCAATTACAAAACCATTATTTTCAAGCTAATGTAAAAATTGTTAATTTAACTGATGATCTTATAATTAGGGTTTCAACAAAGTGCTGTCATTTATTAATTTAAAAAGGCTGGTGATAGTTGTACTTAATGCATAGCATATTTGATTTCTCATCCTAGCCTATAACACTTAAAAGGATATCATGATTAGCAAGTAGAAAGATAATCAGTTTTAAACTAAGATGACAAAGGGACTATAAACTAAGACATTAGGTAGCTTTGGTTAGTTATTATGACTCTACCCTGCTCTTTTTATGTGGTCAGGCCTCTGAAGAGCTCCTGTTATTTAAATTTTACTGTTTTTAAAATGGCATGGAAATGATACAATTACTACTCAATTATCCACTTTTAGGGAACATTCCAGGTAATTTCTTTCTAAAATAAAATGAGTAAATTTGGCTGTGCCTATAAACCTAGCAACAACAAGGACAAACTCCTTTATTTCCCAGTTATCTGCCTTGGGAAAGAGAAGAGATCTAAAAGATGGAGGAGATTTCATGTTAAATGCTAAGAACCAGGAGCAAGGGAGGCCTGGAGTGGAGGAGATGCTGTCTAAAGGCATGAAGGGCTCCCATCTGTCTCTTCCTTTTCCCTCCCCTCCTGTTATGGTTTATATCTAGGTGTCCTCCAAGAGTTTTCTGTGCTCATAGCTGGGGCTTGTGAAAAGTGAGTGAATCACGGGGGCGCCACAGCTAAGTGTGCCTTAGGAGGTGGGGCCTGGCCGGGAAGAGGTGGCCGCTGGGTTCGTGATATGGAAGGGTTTGTCTCCCCAACTGGTCTCTTAGCATCCTGCTTCCTGTACACTATGAGGCAGGCAGTCTTCTTTAGCTCAGGCCCTTCCAGCATGCTGTTGGGCTTGCAAGGACTGAAATGTCTACATTCCGAGCCAGTAAACCAATAACCTCTCCTCCTTTAAATTGCATGTGTTGTTATTTTGTCCCAGTAATGAGGAATGTGACTGGGGCACTTCCCCTCCTTTCATCCTGTGCCACTAATGAAATGCTGGGAGGGGGAGGTAGGGGGTGGAAGGAGTATGTGCTGAGAACAAGAGACAACAAAATATCTCAGGGCTGCCACCTCTCAAAATCTTCCATGGTCTCCCTTTTTTTCTCTCCCTCCCTCTGCTCCTGCAGTGTGCTAGGCAAGCTCCTGCCCCAGGGCCACGGCACTCTGCGCAGAGCTCATCTTGAGGTTCCCAGGCATCTTGCTCTTCCCACCCTCCAGCTCTGCTCAAATGTCTTCCTTCCCGACCACCCAACCTAACACTGCAGTCTCCCTTTCACCCTCCCTCCTGATTTCCCACAGCACTTCCAAACTCCTGACATGCTACAAATGGTGTTTACTGTTTCGCCCCTCAGCCCACCAGAATGTCAGTGCTGTGAGGAGACCAATGTTTACTTTGTTCATTCAGTGCAGTAATCACCACTGCCTACAACAGTGCTTGGTATGATACTGAATGAAAATGAAGGGACAGAGAGATGGTCAGAGACCAAGTGACTCTCTCCAAGACACTCTAGGGGGACTGGGCTCCCACTGACCATGGTTAGGCCCAAGTGGCTCTGCTTGCCTACCCAGGTACAGGGCAAACTCTCAGGAAAGGAAGAAATGCTTTCAGTGAGTGAGAACAGCCAAGCAAAACATATCTTATCCACAAAAGTTATGTGCTCTCTTAGGAATAAATAATGCTATGATCATGATAATTCATGCTTGACATCCTTGCTCTTGAAGTCACAAATCAGAGAAACTTGAATTTTTGGGGGGTACTGTGGATCGAACTCGGGTCCTTGTGCTTGAGCAACAGGCGGCGAAACCACTGAGCTAAATCCCCGGCCCAGGAACTTGAATTTTTAAAGCCTGAGTAGCATGTGAGCAGGCCTCCCCTCAGAGGGGTAGGACAGGAGTTTCCAAAATTTCCAGCTCTCCACCCTCCTTGCTGGGGAAAGTGTTAGGCGTGGCTCCATAATGCTCTCCCTGGAAGTGCTGATTCACAATTGCTGGGCTGTTGCAGATACAGTGACTAGGAAAGCAAGTCAGTCATCACAAGCAATAGAAGCCGTGGGTCGAATGTCACTGACTAATCAACCTGCCATTGGTCAATTACCCATCCCCATGAAGAGGTGCCACTGATCTGGTTTCCTATCAATAAATGTCTATCTGGGTACATCAGCTGCTGGTAAGTACAGCCTGCCAAGATATCTAGCGTTGTTCCACAGGCACTGGTGCCTAGGAAATCTCTCTCCTTTTCTCTTAATAATGTCATAGAAGAGGCAAATGCAGTTCCTGACAACATAATGTTAGTTTCACTGAGACGTGTCTCTTTGAATGCGCAGCTAGTTATACAAAGCTTCAATTGCATGGATTTTCTTACTAAAAAAACAATAGCTGGGCTGAAGGAAGTTTGGAGGCTTCATACTGTGCTGAGATGTACAATTCTGCTGTTGATTGTGTTCCTGCTCATCATCCTCCTCTCTGAGTTAGGAAAAGAAAAATTGTTTGGGGAACCATTTTCACTCCACATTTAAAGAAAACCAAATGGGCACTGGTTTCTCTTGCCTTAAGCCCCCAACACATTTTCCCGGAATCAGATTCCACATCTCTGATCTCTGGTAAAGCTAGGGGCCAACATGGCCTTGTGCCATGGAGAGCCTGTTTGTTTCTGTTTGAGCCGTCACCCTGGCAACAACCTCATGAGGTCCTTGATGGATCTAAAACTGTAGATTTCTTACTATACCTACTATAATTTCCCCTTCTATCTTGACAGACTACCTCATTGACACATTCAACCTGTCAAGAAGCTTATTCTGAGTTGTCATAGGCTTTATATATTAGGCAAGGCAGGGAGGAATCAGCAAGTAAACAATTATACTACAAATGCTGTGACAGGAATTATATACAGAATATATGGGATATACACAGAATGACTGGGATGGTTGAAGGGAGATGTCTCAATAAGCCCAAGAGATGACTGAAGACTAGACAAGCATTTCTTAAGGGTGATGTCTAGAAGCAAGAATTAGAAGAGTTGGGCCGGGGATTTAGCTCAGTGGTTTCACCGCCTGCTGCGCAAGCGCAAGGACCTGAGTTTGATCCCCGGTACCGAAAAAAAAAAAAAAAATTAGAAGAGTCAGGTAGGGCAAAGTGGCACATACCTCTCATCACAGGTACTTGGGAAGCTGAGGCAAGAGGACCACAAATTCATGGTTAGCCTGGACAGGTTATCAAGACCTTGTTCCAAAATTAGGGAAAAAAGTGTGAGTGTGGGGAGGCTAAGGATGTAGCTCTATGGTAAGCATGAGGCCATGAGTTCAATCCTCAGTACAAAAAAAAAGCAAGCCGTAAAAAAGGGCAATGAGAGGTAGTAAGAGGGATAAGCAATACGAAGGGCATGATCAAAGATTTGAAGGCATGGGGGCAAGAGAGGGCAGGACTCATGCAAAAACTCTCAAGAACTCTCAGGAGGTACAGTACATGTAGGGTGGAAGGTGGTGGTGGGAGGAATATCAGGTAAGTGATGGGAACACTGAGAACATTAAAAGAGAATGGGTAGAGCTACTAAGTTGCCCATTTGCTTCAATCTTCATTGGCAAGAAGACTGGCCTTCAAATTAGACATGGCAGAACAAACATGATAAAGAGAAAATTGAAGTCCCAAATAGGTGAAGTGAAAGAAAGAGTATCTAGTCAATTTAAATGATTTCAAGTCCCCTGGCTCAGATGAGTTACACCCCAAGCCTGCTGAAAGAAATTGCAGATGTAATCTCAGAAACATGACTGGCAATCTTTAAGAAATTGTGGGGACTATAAGGAGTGCTAGAAGACAAAAAGGAAGACAACTGTTTTCCACAATTTTCAAGTGAAGAGGGTTAGATTATCATGGGAAATATACAAACAAGTTTTATATCATCTATGGCAAAAATCCTAGAATAGCTTATTAAACAGATGGTTGCTGAGTAGTCTTTAATGCACACAGCTGAGAGAAAGGAAGAAGAGATGTTGTTTGTGCTTTGGAAGCATTTTATTTGTACTAGTAGTTTGTTTGGACTGGTTGTGGCTGGCCTTTTCCCCCTTCCTAAGCACAAAGTAAGTTATCTTGGCCTGTTCTCTGAATGAAAAGCTTCTCTATCTCTGATTGGCTGAGATGCTTTGATTAAAAGAGGTTGACAATTTAAATGAAGAAATTGACAGTTTGAAGCAGCCAAGTAGTCCAGCATCAATTCTTGGGGGGTCTGGGGAACCAGTAAGCTGCATTAGCCTAAACATCAACAAATCTGCGCCCATTAGGCGCCTGCTTGTCTCATTTTTGTGTTAGTTTGCTCTTTGTACAGACTGCCTTTAAAAAGAGAACAAGAGGGCCGGGGATTTAGCTCAGTGGTTCTGCCGCCTGCCTCACAAGCATAGGGTCTTGAGTTCGATCCCCGGTACCAAAAAAAAACCAAAACATAATCCTATAAATTAAAAAAAAGTTCCTTTCTTAAAAAGACAAAATTGAATAATTTAAAAACTCAAACACAAAGGTCACTAAGAAGATTTTAACTAGGTTTCATATTCACATCTGTTCTGCTCATGCAGAAAATCATTTATTAAACTTGAGAATGATCTTTCATTCTATATAACCTCTCTTGACATGATCCTGTATCTCTAACAATATAAACTGAAACTTGAGAAGGGGGTAAGTCATCTTAGGGAAAGGCCCCTTACCTACTCCCCCTACAAGTCTAATTCTGGTGCATCTTCCTACCAGAAAATGCAGACAATTACCTGATATCCCACTGTTCTTCTCCTTTCCTCTCCCAACCCCTTCCTGATATTTATAGCAAAACAGCTGCATTTCTTTACTGAACTTATGGAGGTCATCATTTGCCAAAATACAATTTTCATGGTAGTTTCCATTTTAAAACTTATGAATGAGAAGGAATCTTACCGTATTGACCCAATCATGTATGGCTGTGCCAGTTGAACCACAATTGCACCACTTCCTAGCTGATGACATGTGTAGCCAGAATCCCAATCGTAATTCTTGGTGTCCCCATTCAGCAAGGCATTTCGGCTCCGACTGACTCCTTCAATCACACTGGCACAATCGGCAATCGTTGCAATATTCTCTGTGGGAACTGTGAATCCAAACATAAGATTTGGCATCAAGATAAGAGAAGCCAAATATATCCCAATAATATGCTCAGCACAAAATTAATTAATTACTATCTCATGTCAACAATAAAAGGGAAATTAGAACATCTTAGTTATCTTAAGATATGAAGTTTCTATACTAAATAATGAAAAAAATTAAACCTGAGGTTGGAACAATCCAAACTATATGTAGCAATTAACCCTAAAGTACTTTATTATAAAGAAACATGATAACCTATAAAATGTAGAATGGAAAAAATTGAAACAAAGCTTTTGTAAATAAGGAGGGGAAAAGGGTTCTTGAAGGGAAGGAAAGGGAACAGTAAAAAGTAAGAATCAAGATATATTACATACAGGTACAAATTCCCTATAATGAATGTGATCATTAGGTACACTTAAAATATACCAATAAACAATAAAAAATGGAGAATGGACAAATATATTGTATAATATTATTACAATGAGATACTTCACAGCCATTGAAGACAGAGAGAGAGAGAGAGAGAGACAGAGAGAGAGAGAGTGTGAGAGTGTGTTAATTAGTTGTTGGAGGCTGAACCCAGGTCCTCATGCATGAGCAGGTGAGCTACATCTTGGCCTAGCAATTGAGACTAATAACCTATAGCTATACACATATGTTGGGTAGAAAATTCATAAATTTAGAATTCTAGAATTCATAAAACAAAAAACTAATCCAGGACACAATATCAATTTCTTTTCAGAATATACAGTTGGCCTCAGCCATGATTCATTTCCTTTTTTTGTTTACTATTCTGTGCACTGCAACACATATGCTTTTCCTTTGTTCATGAACTGATATATCTTGAAAAACCAGCTGTGTTTTGATTCTGAGTCTCTCTATACTTCAAGTCTACATAAACCAACTCTTTTTTTTTTTTTTTT